GACACCGGAAGGATCTGCCTGTCCAACAACGTCGTGTGGATCAACCGCCGCACCGCCGTGCCGGCGCCGGTACCGGCCAGCGGGGGGGGCTCTTCGGTCACCGCGGCGCCCTCGCCGGCCGCCGCCGTTCCTGCAGCCGCTGCCGCACCGCCACCGCCATGGGCATCGCGGACGTACACCTACATCCCGCCCACAGCGACCACCGCTTCGCCGCCGCCCGCTTCTCCGTCGATCTTCACAGGGTCCGGAGCCGCGTCGCCGATCTCCACGGCGTCTTCGCGTGCACCGCCGTCCACCGCAGCCACGCCGCCCCATCCACCGCCGACAACACCGCCCGCAAGCGCCGCCGCTCCCGCTCCCCATCACCCGCCGCTTTCACAGCGAGTCGTCAAAGAATTGGGCGAGAAGGAAACCAGAGTGCATGGCCGTACGCGCGGCGACCGAGTACGCTTCATGGATGAGCAACAGCAACCGCCGTCGCCGTCAGGTGGCGGCACCGCTCTCCAACACCGCCTTGGGCTGCTGTCGATGATGGGCAAGGACGCGCTCGTCTCGTCGCTCGCCACCCGGGAGGCCGTCGATCAAGGACGTCGAGACCTGCCACCGTCCGCCAGCATCGCCCCTCCCGCTCCCCCACCGCCGCAAGATACGAGTTTAGCAGGCCATGGGAGCGGGGGGGCCGCAGGAGCTGGAGGGCCGGGGGGCCTGCACATGTTCGCAGCAATGTTCGCCACCCGCGAGGACGTGGAAGCCACTCTTCGTGCCAAGCGCCCTCCTGACAAGACGCCGGACCTCCCTCACTGCCTCGCCAGCGACCTCCGAGTGCCGAAAACGTCCAAGGAGGCCATGCGGTCTCAACATTCAGAGTTGTGGGATGATGCAGTCGGTCGGGAGTTTTTCGGTCTGTTGGATGCAGGTACTTTTAGTCCGGTGTAGCAACCAGTAGAAAACTTCATCAACGCCAAGCGGGTATTCAACTGTAAGGCAGACGAGTACGGATGGCCGACGAAATTCAAGGCAAGACTTGTAGCGCGGGGGGACATGCAGAGGGCTTCGATTGATTTTGGAGAATTGTTTGCACCCACCGTATCCGTGTCTAGTGTGCGTTTGTTGGCAGCTTTGGCATGTGAGCAGAACCTTGACTTGTGTCATTTCGATATTCAGCAGGCGTTTGTGCAGTCTGAGCTTGAAGAGGATGTTTTCATGCGTCTCCCGCAAGGTTGTGGTAGGTTATCTGGACTGATCGTGAAGCTATGCAAGAGTCTGTACGGTTTGAAGCAGGCGTCACGACAATGGCATGCGCACCTGACGAGGTGTTTGTTACTTTTAGGATTTGTGCAATGTTTGGCGGATGCATGTGTTTTTCGATTTATGGAGGATGGATGTGTGATCATGATCATCGTGGTCCACGTGGATGACATTTTTGCCGTAGGGCAGAAGGAGAGATGTGACAAGTTTGGCAGAGACCTCAACGAGATGGTCCCCGTGAAGAACCTTGAGGAGTTGAGGTGGTACTCCGCGTGCTTTTACCAGAGAGATCTAGAGAGAGGCCTTTTGAGGATCTCGCAGCAAAGGTTTGCAGAAGAGTTGGCTGCAGAGTACGGCGTAGAGTGGGGGAAGAGTGTGCCCTTGCCTGTGAGCATGAAGCTCACCGACTTTGACGAGGACGAAGCGTGTGCTGACGTCCCTTTCCGCGAGTTGGTAGGATCCCTGATGTGGTTGGCCACTCAAACCAGGCCGGACATCGCGAATGCAGTACGAGCAGTAGCGCGGTATTGCGCGTCTCCCAAGATGGCGCACTGGAAGGCAGCACTTGGTATTTTAGGGTACGTGCGTAGGACGAGTTGGATGGGGATTACATTTGAGAGGGGTGTCGTGACTGGCATGAGCATGCAGGTGTTTGTGGATGCTGACTATGCGAGCAAGGCAGCAGACCGTAGGTCGGTTTCAGGAGGACTAGTGATGTGTGGGGGTGGGTGTGTAACTTGGTTTTCGAGGACGCAGAAGTGCGTTACGCTTTCCACAACGGAAGCAGAGTATGTGGCAATTGCCGACGTTTTGAAGGAGGTGCTTTTCTTGAGGCAAGTTTGGCGTTTTATGTTGCCAGATGCAGGTATGCCGTGCATTCAAATCTTCGAGGATAATCAGGGAGCGATTCAGATTGCGCACAACCCGATCACGAACTCAAACTCGAAGCACATTGATGTACGGCATCACTTTATCAGGGAACTGGTAGAGAGGAAGGAGATTTCGATTACCCATGTGGCGTCGGAGTTTCAGCATGCAGATTTCTTGACGAAGGCTATCAGCAAGGAATCTTTTGCGTTGCACAGAGACTTTGTGACGAATTTGCAGTGACAGAGGTGTTTTGGGATCAAATCGTGCTTTGCCGTTGAGTGGAAGAGAGAGGATATGTACGAGTTTGAACAAAAGATAGAGAGGGTCAAGTGGAGATGGTAGTGTTTTGGAAGGTTATTTGGGATTTTTTGTTGATGATTTGGAAGAGTTGGTATGCGATTGATTGTTTTTGGAGGTATTGTTTTGTTTGGTGTTGGAGTTTTCGATTTTGTCTTGGTTTTGATTTGTTTTGGGATGAACTGGTATGAGAATGACTTCGATGTTTTGCCGGAGCATGACGATGCATACGAGCAGGGGGGCTATTCGATATACTCGTAGCATAGCATGGGGGTGGTATATTGCGTATACATATGAGGGGATTGCAGTGACGAACTACGGAGGAACAAGAAGTTTCTTTGTGTTTTCCTTGGGAGTGTAGTAGATTGGTGGAGATTCATGGAGATTCGTTCTGGGTGTTAAAGCGTTATGCTTGACTTGATGCCGTGATGGAATGACGAGCTCAAGCACGCCCCCGATGAATACAACACGTTTTTCACCACGTCTACACGTCTTTACCTACCCGTGCGGCCCGTCATGGCCGAGCCTCTCTACGCTCCCATCACACACAACTGAGCCACCCGAATTATCGATCAGAAACCATCATATCGGATTTTCCTAGACTGAAAAGGGAAAACGTTCACTTTCCTCTGAGGCGAGATGGGTCGATCTTCAAGGTGGATTTGAAGATTCTCCCCAAGATGTCATCAGCTCAGGCACAGTCGGCATTCCCTACTACCAACGAGGACACGGACAACTGGCACTGTCGTCTCGGACACCTGAACGAGAACAGCATGAAGACGCTGCGCTCCAAGCCTGACTCGGGTGTTTTGTTCCAAGGAAATCTGTCCCGTGCAAGGTTTGCAAGCTTGGGAAAAGTGCTCAGCTCAAGCACCCAAAGGAGTCAACGGTCACGACAACCTCTCCGTTTGAGTTGGTCTACACGGGGATTTGGCCGGACCGTTCAAGCCTCAAGCGAAGGACGGGTCCAACTATTTCAGCAAGTTCACGGATCACCACACCAGATGGAAATCGGTTTACCCGATATCTTCCAAGGATCAAGCTGTCGACACCCTGACATATTTCATTCAGGATTACGTCATCCCCCTGGGGCTAAGGGTGCCGCGTCTACGCTACGACAAAGGCGGAGAATACGTGGCTGAGTACTACAGGAGCTACTGAAGGGAAACAGGAATAAAGATGGAGTTGCATCGACAAATAATCCTCAGCAGAATGGTGTATCGGAACGTGACGGAAGGACGATAATGAATATGACAAGGTGCATCCTCATCGACACTAGACTTCCGAAGTTCCTGTGGGGAGAAATATGCGAAACGTCGGTCTTCTTCATTAATCGCTCTCCTCATCGTGCACTTGGCGGAAGCTCGCCATACTCCAAGCTATTTGGGAAAGAACCAGATCTTTCGGGTTTGAGGGGTATTGGAGCAAGGGTCTTCGTGCACAACGAGAGACACGGCAACAAGCTAGAACAGAGGGCTTGGGAAGGCATCATGCTGGGGTACAGCAAGGACAGCAAGTCCTATCGAGTCTACAATCCACACAACCGCCGGATTACGGAAAGCCGGAATGTCACGTTCATTGAGACGCCGCCAACGGCAATACCGGAAGCTGGACAAGACAGCTCCTGTCCAATCAAGACGAAGACGAAAATGCAGATGACAACGGCGCTGATGAAGCGTATCGTTGGGACATTCTTGCGCATTTACCCCTCCTCGGCACAACCAGGGAGGAACCCAACAACGAGGAGGACCAAGAGTTGGAAAAGAGCAACTATTCGGAGGGTTCACCACGTCCACTCACGACAACCGGTTCAGGGGTCACGTTTGATCCGCCGTCAACACCGGATTCTGTGGGAACACCGAGTAGCCGAACGTCATTTGACCACGGGGAGGACTCGACGCAGGGACAGGACCCCTCAAGCGCTTCATTGCTTCCTGATACATCGCCAGACAGGGCAACATCACTACGGTCGCAGGGACCTGTCACATCTTTGAGCAGGACATTACGGTCCAAGGGACCAGCAGCCCAAGACACCCCGAGTGTGGACACTGCTGGGCTAGACGGAAAAACGAGACTCGAATTGAAACAACTGGCTACGTCGGCCACGTTCGAGAAAGAAGACTATGCTCACGAGCCGGAACGTAGTTCACTCGTGGATTATGCATACGTCACGGAAACAATCACCTAATCCAACCCGGATCCTGCCAGCATCACGCTGCCCTACACGTTCAAGGAGGCCGAGGCGTTAACCCACAGCGCAAAATGGTCCAAGGCAATGGACAAGGAAATGGCGAGCCTTCACGAGAACAACGTCTACGACCTCATCCCAAGATCGGCGGTTCCGGTCGGAAACAAGGTCATCGGATTGCGGTGGGTGTTCAGGGTAAAGAGCTACTACACTTTCAAGGCAAAAATTGTCTGTCAAGGATATGCTCAGCGACCTGGAATCGATTGCGGGGCAACCTTTGCACCGGTTTGCCGCAGCGAGAGTCAACGGATACTAATGGCCATCGCCTGCCATTTTGACTGGGATATTTTGATGCTGGACGTCAAGACGGCGTTCCTTCAAAGCCCTATCGACTCACCGACGTACGTACGACAAGCTCCTGGATACGAGAAGCTTGACGCTCAAGACCCTTCATCATGAAGTTAAAGCAAGTTGTTTATGGACTGCGGACAGCAAGCCGCGTTTGGCATCTCACATTGGACAAGGTTCTTCTGGCGGTGGGATTCAGGGCTACAAAGACGGACCCGTGCATGTACATCACCGAAATTGGGGGAGGATACTGTCTATTAACAATTTATGTCGATGACATTCTCCTGACACCGCCGGACAAGAAGCTACTCGTCAAGAAGAAGAAGCAGCTTATAATGGACCGCTTTACCATGAGCGATCTCGGAGAGGTGTCCCTCATCCTGGGGATGAAGATCACACGCGATGGAGTAAAGAAGACCCTCCGGATCAGCCAAACGGACTACACCACCTCACTACTGGAACGATTTGGGATGCAAGACTGCAACCCAGTTATCACGCCAAGCGTCGGAGGAGAGCTATCGCTGGATCAGCCAGCGGAGACTCTACTCGACGAGGACGGCATCAAGACGTACCAAAGCTTAGTCGGAAGGCTTTTGAATTTAAGCCGGACCAGCCACTGGGACATATCATACGCCGTGCTTGAACTGACACGGGCTACCAGCAAACCCAGCAAGGCGCACATGTCCAGGGCTAATATATAAGCATGTACTCCGGTACCTCAAACAACGGCCAGAGTTGGACATACATCGTGTTCAAGAGCGGGGATTTCAAGATCCATGCTTGGGCAGACGCAAGCTTTGCTCAAGACCTTGAGAAGAGGAGGTCAACAAGTGGATACCTTTTTCTTCTGTGGGGCGCGCACATTTCATGGGCCTCATCACTTCAATCGCTGACTGCACTCAGCACAACGGAGGCGGAGATGGTTTCAATCTCCTATGCAGCACGAGAATGCTGCCACATTCAAGACATGTTGTCGGAACTCGGACTCCTCAATCAGTTCAGCAACATTCGGATCGGAAATTATTCGACGGGCGCTCTATCGCTAGTGAGTAACAACTACAGCGCCAGGACGAAGCACCTTCAGCTGCGGAAGTGGTTCACAACGGAGCTCATCGAAAGCGGACGCTTGAGCGTATACCACGTCCCGTCGGGAGATCTATCTGCCGACCTCTTCACGAAGAGCACTACGAAGGCCATCCACCGAAAGCTCGCCGACCAGATTCTGGCTTACTCAACCAAGGAGTGAGGATCTTTGAAGCAGCCAGGAATTCCATCCAGAACGAGATCTGGCGCACAACACTTACTTCTCTGTACGGGCACCACGGCACCATAGAGGCAACAGCTCGAGAACGTTCATCGCTACACAACGCATGGACTGGCAACAAAATTGTCAAGATTCATCTATACAGCCTAATCATGGCACAATGGGGAGCGACCACGTCATGTGCTGCACTTGCCACTACTTGGGGCGAGTGGAATTATTCGAGGCATCATCCATGGATAAATATCGGACGTACAGGTTCACATCGATCGCAAGCCATGGGGACAGGACGGAATGCGAGATCAGGTTGGAGGACGATAACCGGTACCATAGAAGAATGCGTTGTTGTGATGAATGCCATTCGAGGGGGCATATATACATCTGTAGCCCGTTTTAAGTGAATGTCATTCGAGGATGCGTCTATGTGTGTTCATGAATACCATAGATTGGAGCTATGCAATAGGTTTGAATCTGTTGGCATTTTGATTACGAACCCAGAGCGAGCGGTGGAGCATACAATTTTTCTGTCACGGATACGCATCCCTGAAGAATTTTTTCACTCCAAAGGTCATGCATGTATTTTTCTGCTTGTTGAAGTTTCACAGTATCAGCGTACTACAAGTAGATAGTTCGCAGTATCTCAGCATCTTAGATGTTCAGTACAAGCTGTTCATAGATTATGGGCATTGCTTCATTGAGGGGGCATGTTGGAATATGTGGCACTACCGTAGCTTCAGCATTAGGTAGTCAGTTTGACTAGTTCAAATATTGTCAATGTCGCTATGTCATGCAGTAGGTAAAATTCCGTATGGTCTGTTATACTCGGCATATGGAGAGACATGGTTGGTGTTCTGTGTTTCATATCCAGAAATAATCTGCATAGCCTAGATTTCCAGAAATATGTCATAGTGCAAGTAACTCAGACTTGCGTGCTCGGAAATATTATGCATCGGGTAGTTGTCGCAAGTGCCTCTGACTTGCGTGTATGAAAGGATATGTACCGCCGCAAGTAACTCAGACTTGCGTGCTTGAATGAATGAATATTCGTATGTATGCGCTCAGCAGTCGAATTTGGAAAGTACATTAGTTCAATTGTTGAAGCTGTATTCTGCGGTTTGTCGTACGTCAGTGCAGTAATCACTTGTGCGTGCAAGTACAATACTTGATGCGCATACGTGGCACAAGTTCGAGAGCATGGTGTTGAAGTAATCTTTCCAGAAACGTATCGTAGCTTACCAGCCGTATTCTGAACACGTGTGATTGGTCGACGTTGGCGGATAGGTGTGATTCCATGATTTCGAGGATGAGCGCGTACTCGCCCCATCCTGTCACTCTGCTTCTTTGGGGGTTCTCCAACCCTCTGCCTTCTGTGGGGTTTCTCGACCTCTCTACTTCTCCGGGGTTCACTACCCCTCTGTTTCTCTACATTCTTTCTGGTCTCCACTGATACTACATTTCCACCAACCCATCTTCTTCTCCTTAAGACTTCCTGCGTACTCAGAGCCAACCCTCTCGTACTAAGAGTCCAGCGGCACAGCAAGTGAGTTGGCACGCCACGCTGCAGCCGTACAGGACACGTACAGGCTTACACGCAGCACTTGAGTTTTGCATTTGACCTGTGACTATAAGATTGCACAATCGAGTTCTGCTCATGTACATCAGTGGTCATCATACGCACGTTCTACTTGCGCGACACACTGCGGAGAGAGCAAGCACCAACTCAAGAGTAAAATAGGACTACCATTTTTGACGACAAACAACAACACCTCTTCGAGAGCCGATACGGGTCGTCAACACCCACCAGCCTACATCCCCAAGAGTGATAAATGACAGAGAAGCTCGGAACAATAATTCTTGTTCTGCCGCACAGCCACCCTAGGAAATTTCGGGATGTCTCGCTCAACAGGCGGCAAAGAGGTTTTGTGGTACGCGTACGTCGGAGAAAGAAAGAGCTCTCTCTTGTGTAGATATAGGCCCGTACCGTTACACGCGAGCTTCTTCTTTTCTGCCTGTAGATGATGCTTCATACATGATGCGGCGGTGTGCATTGCTTTGGATACCTGGCCAAACTACAGGCCATACCCCTTCACGCAGCAGACAGCCACAACAGGGGAGGGGCGAAAGGCAGAAGAGTTTGACCTCAGTCTAGACGTCTACATAGACCGATAGCCAGCCATAAACTTCAGCGGCGCGACTCTCTCGCGAGTGCAAGATGGAGGTCCACCAGCAGCAGCAGGAGGAGCAGCACGTGATTCACGTCGTTGAGGGCGGCCAATGTTGCTGCGGCGTGCCCAAAGGGGCTCCATGTTGCGTCACGGGGGTGAGAAAATGTTCGCTTTGCACGCGCTTGCTGCCCATACGTACCGTGTGGTCCCAAGTCTGGTAAACAAAATCACCTTATATCATGTTACATGTAATCATGTTATAAATATACTTACAGGATCGTCGTCGTGACGTGATACATTTCTTGTTATTAGTATGGGAAATAAAAAAAAGAGATGGCTCGATTTCTGTATTTCCACAGCAGTATGGACCAGACGCCGACTGTACATGGAAGTCGTACGAGTGTCGACTCAGTTGTGCTGTCACAGCATCTTCCACGCACTTCTGCCAGTGCTGGTTTGTTGATTGGAGTCTTGGGGGTCGAGATACAGCAGTGGGATTCTCGGGTTGTGTAGGCAAATGAAAGGTAAACTACGCGGGGTGCAGCAAGCACGTTCTGGATGTTACTTGGGGCACTGGGTAGTCGGCCGTGTTAGGCCGAGAGAGAGAGATTGAGAGAGAGTTGGAGAGAGAGTGGGAGAAGGAAACTTGATTGGAGAGAGACGGTGGTGGTGGTGGAGAGAGAGAGGAAGAAGTGAGCGCAGCACGCACGCAAGCTTCATCGCACCAACCACGCCAAAAGGGTCCCCGTGACCGCACCGATGGTACCCTGCAACACACGAAATTCCCAACACGGATCCCCCTGGGATCCTCACGACCAGATACTGCTGCGAGTATATCTAACATCCCCCCTGCTCGCAACAGTTATTCACTGAAAACTTCGCGAACACTCGATATCTCAACCAAAATACATCTCTCCAAGAATATATGCCATCAATACTCGACCAGAATAACATAAGAGGGAAAAACAATTCAAAGGAACATGAATACTGCATCGCGCGTAACAAATACTTGGCGCGAGAAATGAAAGAAAACGGGAAACAAAACGAGAAACAAAACAAAACCAAAACACAACCAATCAGAAAAACAATAAAATGTTCATGCCAAATTCATTGCAAAATCACGGTGAGACTCGAAAGCGTCCTTCGGCAAGCTCTTCGTGAGAAAATCTGCACGCTGGTACGGAGACGGCACGTGGATCACCGAAATTTCCTTCCTCTCTACCAGTTCCCTGAGAAAATGGTGCCTTACATCTATGTGCTTCGAGTTCGAGTTTGAGATGGGGTTCTGCGCTAGTTGAATCGCCCCCTGGTTGTCCTCGAAGACGGGGATACACGGCATGCCGACCTGCGGCAACATGAAACGCCAAACCTGCCTCAAAAACAAAATCTCCTTCACTACATCACCAAGCGCGACGTACTCTGCTTCTGTCGTCGAAAGCGTAACGCACTTTTGCGTTCTGGAAAACCAAGACGCGGCACCTCCTCCATACGCCACGATCCTCCTGATACCGACCTACGGTCTGCTGCCTTGCTTGCAAAGTCCGAATCAGCATACCCCTGCAAGCTGAAT